AACAAGTCATTGGTTTTGCAAAATCCCATCATGGCATCTCCAGCTTCGTGTCTATCACCAAGTCCATGTTTTCCAACTACGGTTCCTTCCTCGTTGTTTGCATCTTTCACATTCTAGTCACCAATCACAATGAAGGCATCTTGATGACATGTTTGATTGCTTTCCAACAGAAGTCGTTGGTAGAGTTCTTCAGTTCCTTCATCGCTATCTTCTGTGGTTGGAGCATCCACTTGAGTAACAGTTGTATGGAGTGGATCCCCTGGCAGGTGGACATATATAATGTGATCGCAGATAGCACTGTACTTCATGAGTGAGTTTATGAGATCTTTCTAACCCAGGGATGAACCCCAGAAGTCCTAAGAGGGAAATGCGACAGATGTGAGCTCTTAAAAACTAGCAAAGGACACCATAGACAAGGTCAAACTACAACAGACCAGGAGGAAACCTGGGAAATCCTCATAGTAGACGAGAGGGGAAGAGTCACTCTAAACCAAGATCCTGTCAATCAACACGGACAGAGAGAAACAGGAAGGAAGATAATGCTTTGAAACATTGTGCTAATAATTGTATGATACTGCTTGATAGGATTGAACTGTGGAATGAACAGAAATAATTAGGTAAGAGCTATAAACCGATCATTCCCAGAAGAAACAATGAACAACGAGCATATGAAGTGACACTCATTTTCACTGGAAACTTTAAAATAAGCAAATGAATACAAAGGAAGACACCTTCCAAACTGGTAAGAACAAGTGGCGTCCATTTGGCCAGGCGGTGGGCGGCATTTCCTCAGTCCCTGTAATGGGAACATCCCAACCCAATCCAGAACCCACCGGGTCAGCACTTTGGAGGCCAGCTATCATGTGCATTCTGATTGCGGTTCTCAACTTGTGGGTCTCAACCCCTTTGGGGGTCAAATGACCCTTTCACAGGGGTCACCCGATTCATCACAGTAGCAAAATGACAGTGATGAAGTACCAATTAAAATAATGTTATGGTTGGGGGTCACCACCACATGCGGAACTGTATGAAAGGGTCGCGGCACAGGAAGGTGGAGAACCGCTGCTCTAGAGGGTTCCTGAGGCTGTAATCATTATGGAGCTGAAAGGCTTAACTTACTCCTGTGGAGCAGCAGCTGGTGAGTTCGAGCCTCAGACTTTGAGGCTACCAGTCCAATGCTTACCCCCACAGCGCTGCCACAGGTCCTTACCCAGGCACTGTCGGGCGGGCATCTGCTGGACGTCAACAGAGCAGAGAGCACCCACCCCCCTTCTCAGGTGAAGAAACTGAGGCCCAGAGAGGGAAAGCAGCTCACCCAGGCTCCCACAGCTCTTAGTGGACTCAGTAGAAGCCAACATGGGGCCTCTGGGACTTCCATCATCCAAAGTCTCTAAGGGAGGAATGGCGCCTATTCATCCCCACAAAGGTGGGCATTGGGGGACAGCTTGGTCTGTGTCCTGTGTTTGCCTCTGCTACACAC